CTCTGAAACTATTAGAAGAAAACATTGGGAAAAACCTACAAGATATAGGCATAGGAAAGGATTTTCTAAACTGGACATCAATTCCTCAGGAAACAAGGGCAAGAATTAACAAATGGGACCTCGTTAAACTAAAAAACTTCTGTACATCAAGGGAGACAACCAAGGAAGCAAACAGAAAAGCCACAGAATGGGAGAAAATCTTCACCAGCAACACATCCGACAGAGGTTTAATAACCAGAATTTAAAACGAACTCAAAAAACAGAGAACCAATACAAGAAGCAACCCAATTAAAAGGTGGACTAAGGAGCTGAAAAGAGAGTTCTCAAAAGAAGAAAGATGGTTATGAAACATCTTAAAAGATGTTCAACATCACTAATAATTAGGGAAATGCAAATTAAAACCACTTTAAGATTTCACCTTACCCCAGTCAGACTGCCTAAGATCAAGAGAACAAATGATACCAAATGTTGGAGAGGATGTGGGGAAAGGGGAACACTCATCCACTGCTGGTGGGGCTGCAAACTGGTTCAACCCCTACGGAAACCAGTGTGGAGAACTCTTAAAAGACTACAAATGAACCTACCATTTGACCCAGTTATACCACTCTTTGGCATATACCCAAAGAACTCATCCTATTGCAGAGACACTTGTACATCCATGTTTGTTGCTGCTCTTTTCACAATAGCTAAGAGATGGAAGCAACCTAAGTGTCCCTCAGTTGACGAAAATGTGGTTCATTTATACGATGGGAGTTTTACTCAGCAATAAAATAAAGATGAAATCATGAAATTTGCAGGTAAATGGATGGAACTAGAAGCTGTTAATACTGAGTGAAGTAACACAGACTCAGAAAACAACCACCCCCCCCAAAACAATGTATGTTCTCCCTCATATGTGGATCCTAGCACCAAATCCTGGATAAATAAGTATGCAACCAGAGATAACTACAGGAACCAGGACAATGAAAAGAAACCAGGGAGGTAAAGGAAAATAAATAACCTGAAAGAGAGGAACAGTAGGAAACAGGCCTTAATGAGGGAGATATGGATAAAAATTGGGTTAGCTT